AGAACTAAAACTATCTTTATTTGTGGAAGATATGATGCTGTAAGTAGAAAACCCAAGGGACTCAATAAAAAAACTACTGGTACTAATATAGAGGTTCAGCAAAGTGGCAGGATACAAGATCAACATACAAAAATCAGTTGGATTTCTGTACACGTACAGCAAGCAGTCCTCTGATAAAGAAATAAGGACAATACTATTTACAAAAAGATAAAATATGTAGGAATAAACCTCACCTCAGACACAAAACACCTATACAGAGAAAACTATAAAACACTGCTGCAAGAGACAACAAGGGCACTACGTAAAATGGAAGAACCTGCCTTGTTCATGGACAGGTAAACTAAATATTGTGAAAATTTCAATACTGCCTAAAGCAATCTATACATTTAATGCAATCCCAATCCAGATTTCAACAAATTTTTTTAAGAGCATGGAAAACTAATTACTAATTTCATATGGAAAGGAAAGAGACCTCAAATAAGCAGAGCACTTCTCAAGAAGAAAAACAAAGTTGGAAGTCTCACATTCCCAGATCTTAAGAACTACTGTACAGCCACAGTAGTCAAAATAGCTTGGTATTGGTACAATGACAGATAGACCCATGGAACAGAATCGAAAGTCTAGATATGGACCCATCCATCTATGGACAACTGATCTTTGACAAAGGTCCTTCAGTGTAGTAAATTACTGAGTGTAGCTTTTCTACCCATAAGTCTTTGTAAACTCCAAAGTGGGATTTTTCTATGAGCAACTGAGGAGCTCCTGATTGCTGAAGTTGTCCACCTGGAGTATTTCCGTTGGGAGTGGCACAAAACAATGTTCTGGGAGGTGCCCACTCTCTCTCAGGTGCTTAGAGTTCTGATGCTATGATTGGCTAGTTTGACCACCCTGCCGGGCTCAAAAGGAGGCCTCCTAGAGGCAGAACTCTCTCTGACTGCTGGTTGAGGAAGATGTGTTGCTGAAAAAGACACACGCCCCTGAAAGAGACACGTGCTGCTGTGAAAGAGACGCAAGAGGCATACATTGCTGAGTGAGACACCGAGGGACCAGCACTGCTGAGAAAGAGACTGTGAGAGACTGTTGGCTGAGGGACAGTGGGCTGGGAGAGAGGCTGAGCATTTTTCCTGAACTTGAATTGTAGCCTGTGGTGCTTCCCTAATAAACC